AGAAGGTGCAATAATAATAATAAGCACTCAAGTATCATCGTATATAAGCGTTAACCTGCCCAATGAGTTTCGTATATACTCTACTGGCTTTCATCTAGATCCTTAATTACATATCTGGAATAATTACTACACTACATTCACTCATTTGATCAAAAGCTGCAGATATTCAAAATCCAAGTAATTAAAATCCTGCTACAATGTTCTAGTATTTATGGTAATGACAGCATTGCCCTCTCGATTTTGGTTTTAAAATTAAAAACCGTTGTTTAGTTTTAAGATTTGTGTAGTATGTAATCAATACATTTTTGCATTTCCAATCGATTCACATTCTAACAGTGTTGTTTTCCGCACAAGTCCCCCACAGCTGGCACATCTGTGAAGTTCGTTATGTTCTTTTACCGATGTACTAATCTCTTTGATGCAATAAGTGATATTACGTAAACAACACCACAACGTATCTATATTCATGATTCTTACAAAATGAAAACCTGGCTGCACGTGAAAGCCCCTTTACCCCGCCATAAGCCAGCATACCAAGCACAGGCCGTCATACGAAAGCTGGTGGTAGGGGAGTGGCCTTCGAGTATTGCTTCTAGTTTTACAGTAATGTAATAGATGACCGGCATATTTCTCAAAAATACAGCTAATGGCGTTTCATATAAAACCGTAAACAGAAAAAAATAAACAAAAACGTTAAATACGAGTAAACAAATGCGATTACTGCTTTGCTTTGTTTGGCCTTGAATACAATTAATTCACATCGACATCGACTTATGTTATTATGTTCTTATGTATACGTATAATAGCAATTATAGGAAAATATTCCAACAAATTAACAGTGGTTCTGTGTTAATGTAGCTAGCCCACTGATTATTTTTATTCTTCTTTTCATTATTTTCCCTTATTGTCCGTTTTCGCAGTATAATCCCATAGAGAAGGGGGGGGGGCGATCGATGACTATACCTATCCGCGTTTGATTTCTAAATATTCAAGACAGCCGACACACAATATGACATGTATCCCAGTGTGTCCCCTTTGCATGTATATACAGCACAAGACAGTCCCCGATAATATAACACTATAATAAGACAGAGACTATATGCACTTGGAGCCTTGCGGTTAAAAACATGCCAGGAAAGATTCGGGTCATGAATCGCTCATCCAGCATCGAGTCAAAAATCAAACGTCGCCCCGATACACTGTGGCATTGACAGCACCTTGAAAACCGACTGGACATCCTGGCAGCCTCTGTCCTGTGCCAAGTGATGTCTAAAGACTGTAAATGGATTAGCTAGGGGGGAAAATGCACAAGTCATCATTTAAAAAATCGCAGGTTTCAGGTCGGCTCTCCCTGGAAGGTCTGCGCGATCTTTGCGGATTTGTGCTCCCCCTGCGTTGGCTATATATTTGCCAATTCGCTACACATACACATCAAAGTGTATTTTCCAACGTTTTTAAATCACAGCTACATACAACCGATGCCCCATATAGGCTATAGTTTGTCCATTTCCTATTATCTGCAATTATCCAGCTAATACGTAACAATACAACGTACGTAACTTAGCCAGCTACCAATACACCCCGCTGTCGTTCGTACATCACACGATCAGATAGGGTCAGCTACTGCTGTTTGTTATTTTAATATCTACTTGGCTAAAAGGTGTGTATATTTATGTAAAATATTACTTACATGGTCGGAATTCCTTTCGTTTCCAGACGGGAGTGCTGAGCGAGAAGACATTTTTCCCTGAGTTTTCCTACTTTTACAGCTATATACGATCTATACTTATATTATATATATATATATATATTTACAAGATTATATTCTGCTGAAAATAACAGTCGACATTGGCCGCTCAGCAGCCAAGCCAGTTCTGTAAGGCAGTCAATGCCTTTATCCCGTCGGCGCCCGGGGAAGCCGCGTCCTGTGCCCGTCGCAGGAGGGACCGGTATCCTCAAACCATCCGCATTTTCACCGAGGAAACCCAGCAACAACCGTGACAAAAATGAGAGAAAAATGTAGATTTACGATAGCCGGGCAGCCAGCTGAAAACGTCTCATGTTTGCCTGAAAGGTAAAGTACTATGGCGAATATTGATATTGTGCTTCATTTTGAAAAGGGGGAGAGAAAAAAAAGCAAGCACGAAGCCCAAGGTGGCTATTGCTTTTAAACTGCTGTCATAATAGCAAAAATAAATTATTTCTTCGTTATCCTACGAACAGTTAATAGACTTCGCTGTCTCCATTAAAAATGGTACCTAAGAAAAAAAAAATACGGACAAAAATGACGACTAAAAACAAATTAAGGAACAGCAATCGCCAACCCAGCAAGACGAACGAAAAAAACAGTGACAAGGGCTAAGCTACTCAATCTGCTAACATCCTTTCCAAAAAGACACAGGCGAATATAATACGCGTCTCACTATTAATGTCGCGCCGGCGAATGAATAAATAAATAAATAAATATCACTACCTATGTTGAAAAACATGGTAACTACATCACCGAGAACGGTTTTCTACACTGTACCAGAAGCCAGACTCAGGTTTGGGGGGGGTAAACAAACGTCCCCCCCTCCTAAAAAATACACCCCATAAAGAGAACCCACCAGTTAGTAAAACAGCAAGCCTAACCCCCAAGATAGACGCAATATCAACACTTCAGTTTTAAGCTAAAAAGTCTACATCCCCAAAACCGTATGACACTTTGGAGAAGGAAGGACGTCAGGAGAAAGAATAGGCTCGGCTGCAGCAGAGGCTCACACACCCTGCCCCCATTTTCTTAAAGAGACAATCCCTCCATTCATCAATCTGCGCCAGTACCGGAGCTGGCCGCACGTACGGCCAGCATCTGCATCCAGACAAACCCTCCTGCATCGCTTGCCTGCTGCAGGTAATGCACCTTGCAAGTGGCAAAGAATCCGTAGGATGTTTCAACATTTCATTTTATGCGGCACGGCATGAAGAAGTTTCATAAACCTAATGAATTATTGTGCAAACTTTTTTATTTCGTATTGCAATTTGCGTTACACAAAACTCACAAAATCCAAGTTTTCGGAATAGCTTCTTTTATTACGTGAAGGTATACTTTGTTATTGTTATGCATTTCATCGTAGAATAATCGAAAGAACATTGGAAAACAAATACCATCAAATCATGTACAATCCTGTTAATGTTTTATGTCAGCTACTCATATGTTTTCATTTGAAACAGTAGCCAGTAAAAATACTCTTGTAAACATGAAGCTACTTATCCTTCTGCATATGATACTGAAACATTGTAATTTTATTTTTCACTTTTTGCTTTAAAAAATCTTCATTTAGCAAATCGATTGCATTGTTTGTAAACATCCACCATTAGTTGGTCCATTTTTAATAATTAACCATCAATCCATCTTACAAGTCCCTGTCTTGGTCAGGCTCACAGGAAGTACTGGAGCCCATCCAGGGCTAAGGGAACACCCTCAGTTGGATGTCAGTCTGTCATAGGACATACACACCTACATATCCTAAGAGCTATTTAGGGATGCCATGTAACCTAAGGACATATCTTTGGGATGCAGGGTGGAATCCCCATGTGACAAAATATGCAAACTTCACACACACAGAACAGGGAGGGATTCAAACTCCCAAAACTGGAGGTGTGGGGCAATACTGCTATCCACTAAGCCACCATGCTTTTTGTTTATTATTATTATTATTCATACATTAATACTAGTAATAGAATAATTTATGGGGAAATAGTCTTTTTGTCTGTTCCATTTTGCTCTCCGTATGGCACACAGACACATGTGCGCAACGAAAAATGTGTTTGTTTTGCCTGACACTGGTCTTTCATTCATTCGTTTTTTCATAACATCTAGGTTTATGGCAGTCCTGCATCCTGCCCTGGGTACACACAGGATACACGTCAAATAGGACAATAAGCAGACTCCAGTTCATGTAAACTGCACGTCTTTGAAGAAGGGAAGAAGCTCTCAAAGAAGGAAAGAGAACGCGGCAGCTCCATGCACAAAAGCCAGGGCACGAATCAGCCGCACAACTGTGGAGAAGGGCGGAAAAAATGCTACCCACTGTAGCGCTGCTAGGAAAGTAATAGTTATTTGGGTTTCATCACTTATTTATTTTCCACACTGGGTGCAGTGAAGGACAGAAAGCATCGGGTTAGGATCATTCCATTCCAACCAGGACAGTATGTACAGGAATACAAATGGAAAGAAGGCTACACTTCATTTCTTTTGTCCGTTTTTAAGATTAAATTGAAATTTGGAATTTGTGTGATTGTCAGAAGGTGGCCCAGTGGTCGGCAGCGTCGCCTTTGTCTCGGTCATGGCTCCATGTGTGTGGAGTTTGCATGTTGGTGTCATGGAGATTCCTTTGTGTTCTCCATGTTTTCCACACGCAGCCCAAAAACATACTGAGGTGAACTGGAGTTGTAGGTGTGTGTGTGCGTGCGTGGTCCAAGTGTACATTACATTTTATAAACATCTGTGAATGCATTCAAAAAAGCTAAAAATGCCAAAAGACTTGTATTTTGTTTGGTTACTTATGGTTAAGGTTAGGGCTGGGTAGGGGGTAAGGTTGTTATGTTGGGATTAGAGTTTTCCCCATAGAAATGAATGGAGAGTCCTCAACAAGATATAATTAGAAACCTGTGTGTGTGTGTGTGTGTGTATGGTGTGTGTGTGAATAGTGTATGGTGTGTGTGTGTGTGTGTGAATGGTGTATATGTGTGTGTGTGTATGGTGTGTGTGTATGGTGTATGTGTATGGTGTGTGTGTGTATGGTGTGTATGGTGTGTGTGTGTGAATGGTGTGTATGTGTGAATGGTGTGTATGTGTGTGTGTATGGTGTGTGTGTATGTGTTTGGTGTATATGTATGGTGTGTGTGTATAGTGTGTGTGTATGGTGTGTGTGTGTATGGTGTATGTGTATGGTGTGTGTATGGTGTATGTATATGGTGTGTGTGTGGTGTATGTGTATGGTGTGTGTATGGTGTATGTGTATGGTGTGTGTGTATGGTATGTACACCCTGCGATGGCTTGGTGCCCCTGCCTTGCACCCGTATCCTCTGGAAAAGGCTCTGGACCCCTATGTTCCTGAATACAGAAGATTGGTGGAGTTCATCAAAATCCCTCCGGTAATATTTCATTCATGCTTTCTGAGTCTTCCTGAGTGATATTTAATGAATGGCTCATTCCCAGCAAAGGGTGTATTTTTGCACATTGTGAATCTGAAGGATTCTATCTACCCCTTGTGACTGTGTTTGTGACCTGTGACCTGTGACCTGTGTACTGTAAATACAGCAGTCAACGTGCTAGGCAGGATAAGCACACATCCGCTGATTTTAAGCCTTATCATCATCATTTTATTATAAAACGCAGTGGGCTAAATTACTGTAAATAACCACATTTCTTAAATAAATAAGAAAAAAACACAAATAACTGTCATTCTACTGAATAATTTAAACACAGCTAAAAACAGTATATAATCCCCTGGTAATATATATACTTCATACTAGGTTACATTTGTTCCCAGATCTTTCTTCATTGGTTATATAAACAAATACAGACCGTCAAGGATATTCTAATCCAAACAGGTGTAACACCTCAGCTCCTTAATGCAGTCCCTACATGCATCTGTCCAGTCTAATGGTGACACAAATTCAGGTCTTTTATTCAATTACAAACCAATAAAAACGCTGATACTGAAGATAATCTGTTTCACAAAAAGAATTATCTTCCTCACGTGACCATGCTGAAAAGTATATGTAGAAAACCATCACCATGATATGCACAAAAGGAGGCAAGGTATTATATATTTTATACATTTTGTGTAGAATTGGTAGAATGATTATCAGTACTTGTGATGATGGAGCTTATGAAGTATTATAATCAACACTATAATGCCTTATGACTGTCAATAGAAGTTGCTATAATGCTTTATTAATTCTTATACCGACCATTATAATGCATTATGAAGGTATCTATAGTGCCTTATAAATGACATTCATTGGCGCTTATGAAGTATTATACTCAACATTATAATGCCTTATGACTGTAAACAGAAGATGCTGTCATGCTGACTGTAATAATGCATTATAAATGCTTTGTAATGCATTATGAAGGTGTTTATAATGCATTATGTTCTATATATATATATATGTATATATATATATATATATATATATATAATGTTCTTATGTTCTTATTATAGAAGACAGCTTCACAGGAAGTGTTACCACGCTATAGTTTCCCATTTTACAGTATTACATTCACTGGCATTCCAGTTGGGGGGTCATTGTCTTGTGCATCATGATTTGGACTTCAGGCTCACCAGTATGCTGTACTGGATAAGCAGTTACAGAAAACGAATGGATGGAAATGGTCATTCACAAAGTATTCTCTGTACAACCGATGAAGTGAGACATTTTCAGAAAATGTGTTACTGATCTGAAATCAGGAAACTCTGGCACAAAAATACTACTCAGATTCAAATTCAGACTTATTTATAAAGCACGTTTAAAAACAGCCAGTGTTGCCGTACAATCATGCAATGTGTAAAACTGATCACATATTAACATTAATAACTATAACAAAGTATAAATTAAAATACATGCACTGTAGACTTACACATATAAAAAAAATAAATTAGCAAAAAAAAACAGCTATTGCTAACAGATACCTTTTGGATGGACATTGATGTGTTGCTTTTATTATGATTTAAAGTCCCTCAATGCCTTTGGCTAGGTGTTTATTATTGCAGATAGTACAGTATAACAATAACCAACTATGAATGTGTATGATGTCATATGGTCCTTTTTATTGATTTTTAAACAGCCTAATATGTGGTTCATTTAGAAACTAATGCATTAAAAAAAACTTGTGGTGTGTGATCCAAGTTATCAGAATTTAGCACCGATATGGATATATCTTATTGTATCACTCACATTTTAAACAATCGCATAAAGATCCTTTGATATGATGATGCTGTTAAGGAAGTTTTATGGTCAGACATTAATTTCTGCACCCTGCTCGTTTCAGTTTTATTGTGATGTTTAACAATACTTTATTACTATTGTGTATGTTATCCATCCGTCCATCTATCCATTTTCAGTAACTGGGAACACTGGGCATAATGTAGAGAACAGCATGGAGGGGATGCCAGACCATTTCAGGGCACACAGGTACACACAGTCCGTGAGTGAGAACCCAACCCACAGCTCTGGGGGTGTGATGCTATGGTGCTAAGCACTGAGCCATCATGTTTTCCTTTATTATATATTTATAATCAGGGCTGTGCGGTGACTTCTGGAAGCGCAGGTTGTCTAAAGGTTAAAAGGGAGGAGCTCAGAACCTTTAAAGCTCACGCACAAGTTTACATTAATTAAATAGTTTGGTCAAAGCAGGCAGGTGCTCACCCACTTTCTGTATGTACCTGTTTAAAATATCATATTTTACCACCATATTATTCTTTGCCGTACTGATTGTACTTTTTCCTTTTAATAGCATTTTGCACAATATGTGTGAATATAAATCATTTTAGTTCACTGTAAATTTCCTTTACTATAAAAACATTAGGATAGATATATTCCCCCGTTTCTGCTGGTGAACTGAAATTTTTTATGACAATCATTTAAAAAATTAAATTCAGAAAACTGTTTTTGCTTAAAATAGTTTTCAGAGAAAGCTTGATAAAAAATTGTTTTTTGGCTCCCCCCTGCGATGGAATTCGGAGCCGCACATATGCCCCAGAGCATTTCTTGCGGTTTTAAGTAGTTTTATTGGTTTTACTCTCAGCACGATCATTATTATACACGTGCATGATCTAAAAAAACCCACAATATTTGACACTGATTATATTAATATAGTAGCATTATTACCTCACTGTTCCAGAGTTAAATGCTTCATTCTGATACCAGCTCAGGTTGCAGTTTTATGGAGTTCCACCTACAATTAAGGATCCATTGATTCATCTTTAAACAGCTTCAGCTGGTGAGGGTTACAGTATGCTTAGCAGGTCAGACCAGACCTCTCTCTCCAAGGCCACGAACCCTTACTCCTACTGGGGGACTGTCGGGTGTTTCCTTCTTCGGCTTGCTGTCTCCCCCTAGTGGGATATAACTGCAACAGGTCTCCCGGTAGTCAACCAGGCCGCATCCTTGTGTGACTCTTCTGAATTCAAAGATATTCATGTAAATCGCTATCATTAGCTAATGAGAACTGGTATTCAACTCATATCATCTGGTAAAACAAAAGCCAATTTCCTGTGTAGAAATTATGGTGGTATTTATAACAAGAAATTACAATATGGTGGATAACAGGAAAATGTATTAATTAGTAACACAAGTAAGTATAAGTCAGACATGGAATAGGCTAATATGTATCTCTAAATTGCCCATAGTTTAACCATGATTGTAAGCAGGGGCTCCATAAAGGGGAGGACAGTTAGGATGATTCCAGGGGCCCATGACTGTATTTGGAACATAATTAGATTGGTCTGAGCTAGGGCCCCAATATGATACACTTTCATGGGGCCCAAAATCTCTAGCAGTGACCCTGATTATGAGTATATGCCTGCGTACATGTATACCCTGATTGTGAGTAAATGGCTGTGTATATGTATACCCTGATTGTGAGTAAATGGCTGCGTATATGTATACCCTGATTGTGAGTAAATGGCTGTGTATATGTATACCCTGATTGTGAGTATATGCCTGTGTGTATGTACCCTGTGATGAACTGGAACCC